TCACCGGTTTCGGTAACGCATTCACCATTTTTGCAAAAATGTCGGCAGCAGATTTTAGATTAATACGTTGCAGTCCAGAAATGGAAATAGAGCTCTTGAAACATAATGTTTCAATATTATCTCTTAGTATCATTGGAATGATCCTAAAACAGGAATAACGCAATTTATTTTATTTCATCGGTTTCGGTAATGCATTCACCATTTTTTGCATAAACATCGGCAGCAGGTTTTAGACTAATACGTTGCAGTCCAGAAATGGAAATAAAGCTTTCGGAACGCAATGTTTCAATATTATCTCTCAGTATCATTGGAATATACCAGAAACTGGAATAACGCATTTTATTTCGTTTTAACGGTTTCATTATACGCATTCACCACTTTTTACCTATGTCGGCCACATATTTTGGGTTAATTCGCTGCAGTCCGGAAATGAGAACTTCGTAACGTAATTTTTAATATCATCTCGCAGAATCATATAAATCTTCGACAAACAGGAATAACGCATTTTATTTGACTTTACAGGTTCCAGTATGTACGCATTCATCACCTTTCATATGTCGGTCACAGACTGTGCTAATACGCTGCAGCTCGGAAGTGGAAAAAAAACCCTTCAAACGTAATTTGTCGATATTCTCTCTCAGGATGATGGAAATACTCAAGAAAGTGGAATAAGGTATTATATTTGATTTTATCAGTTTGAACGATGTATATTGTGCGCATCCACCATTTTTCACGAAGGTCTGTCACAAATTTTGTGCTGGAAATGATGATGAGTAAAACCTGCACAACATAGATTTTCCATATTTTATCTCAAAATCATAGGTGATATCAAGAAACAAGAAAAACATATCTACTTTAGTTCTACCTATTCGCCTAATTCTGACAACATTTAGTTCTGACGAGTACGTCCGAGATAATCTTGACAACAGTGCGTTTCTGCCGCCCAGGCAAAAGTTATTTGAAGTTACGTCATATTACCTGTTGCTAAAAGCCTCAGCTTGAATTGTTACAATGGAAATGTTCATTTAGTTGGCACATACATTGCGTACAATTTGTGTAGTTTTGTACAACCTATCGTTTACTATTGCAAAGTGTTAGTAGTATGTTGTTGCAGCTAGCTTTGAACATCTACGATATGTATTCTAAATATTTACTTCGACGAGGACGGAACATAATTACGTGATCAAACGAACTTACCTGTAAATGATGTTCGATCTTAATTATGTGAAGTCCTCGTCGAAGTAAATAGCTCCCTCGCTCCCTATGTATCACGCAATTGTTGCAATAACTTGGCTTTGAAGTAAATGAAGGTTTATAGGCGGCCAGGGGGAGAATAAAAGGGGGAAGACGCGGTGCCGCTTTCCTTCTCTGCGTGCGCCCTATGAAATCGTTGGGTACTACTACAAGGGTACTACGATATGTATTCTAATTATTTACTTCGACGAGGACTTCACAAAATTAAAATCGAACATCACATACAGGTAAGTTCGTTTGATCACATAGTTTTGCCGTAAAAAGTTCTATTTTCATCTATTTTATCAGAAAATTTGGTTAACGATTTGAAGGGTTTGGTGGAAAAACGGGTCATCTCCATTATTTATAATTGTACAGTTAAAAAAACAAGTATTAATTGGACCTTTTTTCCATCGAGTGTGATACAAAGACAATGGAGCCTGCCATTTTTTGCTCCAAAATGAAGCAGTTAGATTATTTCATACAAAAAACTCCTTTATTACTGAAAATAACATAACGAAGTATTAATGCTTGAAAAAACCACTGGTCATGTTTGGGTACACATTTTTCAGCTAAAAACGATCATTTTATAGCTTTTTTTGGTTTAATGGGCAGAGGGTAAGTCTGGTACAATTTGTCTGAAGGTAACGAATATGTAGCGGACAACTTTTTTAAAGAAATTTACGAAAACAAGGTTGTACCGGTGGATACACTATACATTACAACGTGAGACTTTTCATATTTGAAAATACGGTACTTTGATATCACAAACTTCTCGTGCTGGGTGAAGTTGAGGATCATACCCTGGCTCACTTGTAAGACTGTTAATTTCTTTGAAGTATTTTTTATCAAGTCTTGCCAACCCTTGGGCGTAGACTACTTCTTTTTTTTTCGTTTTTCTTTTTCTATCGGGTAGCAAAATATCTGTCACAGGGTAAAAAACTGTGCCCTGGCTCGGGAAACTGATGAACTATTACTCTTAAATTTCTATCAGTACTATTAATACACGTATGCACCAAGGATACAGTTCGCAAATAGTATGCGGAGGAAACTGTTAAGGTAGTGATACAAAAATCTGATAACCTCGTTGGTTCCCTTTTTAGCTGTGATTTCCTCTTACATATAAAATCGGCGCTGTGCCGTTTTCGTGGAATAATAATAATAATAATAATAATAATAACTGTCCTTTATTCGTAACATGACTACAAAATAATTGGCGTAATAGGAATGGTGACGAAAAGGTGGAGTGTTAGCTTACGCTGTTTTTCAACCCGACATAAAAAACATTGACACAAACTATGAAGAAAAAAAATAACCTACATTTAAATGGCACAGTTCACAACATTGACCACCAAAAAGAGAAAACCTTAAAATATTACAGTTCTCAGAAAAAGGAAACAATCAATTACCTGTGGATATGCGTAATGCTAAATTGTAGCCATCCGATTGCTTTAAGCTCATCTTTAACCTTTTTTGAAGTTGCTGAGGCTATATTCCTTATACTTACTTGACAAGCAGTTATACAGGGTGTCCGCAAAGTTGGGGTTGTCCTTTTCAGAAACAACTACCCTTGAAATAACAAAGGTAATGTGTAGTGAAACGAGGGCGACCAAGTAAAAAAAAATAAAGGAAAAAGTACTCACTCTCCAGTTGACGAGAAGGGCTAAGTACGTCTCTGCCCGAAATCATACCGCTCCAATAGAAAATTAAATCAGCTGAAGCGCTACCGAGCAGACGCAGAAACCACATTGATTGTCTTACACTTAATGGCTCATCTTCTAACAAGGAAGGCAAAATGTTGCGTGAAAAGTCTAGGTATTGCATCCCGTCCAATCGATTTGGGAGAATAAATGGTCCAATGAGCATACCGTTCACCATGCCAGCCCAAACATTCACCGAAAATGTTTGTTGTCACCAATATGCACTTCAAAAAGTCCGGATTATTGTCATGTTGATGCAACAACCACTCACAAAACCGCACTCTTACTAGAAAATCGTCAGGTTGAAGGGCTTGTACACGTTGGACGTGAACCGGATACAGCCCCTCTTCACGCAGCGTTTGCCACACTTTAGTTTTTGATACTTGCACTTCTCTAGCCACGTCTCTAGTGCTTGTTGTTTTTTGAAATGCAATCGATTATACGAGTTCGTTTACCTCTACACGCGTGACTGTAACCGTCGGTTGAAGGTTGCATACTAACCTGACACACTGACCCCGACCTAGTTCTGCCGTCGGGTTGAGACATTGTACCAGTCGGGGATATCCCGGCGGGTCGCGGCTACAGGACGGTATTCAGATATTTTTGATATTGCAGAGCCCTTTATCTCGGTTCCCTTAAGACATTGGTGTATATGGTACTAAGAAAAATTGCTTATGTTTTCAAGATCTACACGTCGTGTAAAGAAAAACCCCAACTTTGCGGATACCCTGTATAGTTTGGGTGCCCAGTACGAGAAACTACGTGTGAACAATGCTGTCGAATGCCGCGGGATGGGTAGGATGCATTTATTCCTAGAGGATCTTTGATCGTAGTGACAGAGGAGAGTTAGCTGTGAATAAAGATAATATGGCGCTTTGAGGAGAAGGGTCTTACGTACCACAAATAGGCAATGCAGTTTCCTCAATCTGTTCATCTTAAACCATCCCGATTGCTCAAAAGCGCCTCTAATATGATAAAATTTATGGATTCCATAAGAAAATCTGATGCATGGAGGTTTGTATCATCTGAATCCGTTCGGCATCACGTTGAAGGAGAGCAGGTCCATAAACAGAGTCACCGCAAGCTAATTTTGACAGGATTAGGGATTCTCAGAGTTTAAGCTCAAGCTGTGCTGATAGGGCACTTCGACTCGGGTATAACTGACGAAGCACATTATAGGACGCATTGCATAGTCGGTTAACATGTTTAGTGAAGCGTAGCTTGCAGTCAAACCAGATTGCAAGGTTTTTGCATTCGTTTACAAATTTATGTCTTCATTATTCAGACATTATTGGACAGCTCCGGAGCTGACCGGTTCTTACACCAAACAACGCAAAATGTCAAGTAAAACGGAATCCCATCAAACAAAAATATTTTCTGAAGAAAGTGGAGATGACCGGCTTTTGCACAAAACCGTTCATTTGTTTCCTGGGTAAATTGGGTGGGTAGATTTCTATCTGACGTCAATTTGACGCTACTATCCACTAGGGGTACCATTTTATACTTTGAAATCGACCTCAGCGTGCTTCAAGATTCTTTGACGGTATTTTTTTAAACCGACGGAGCCGTGTAACCAGAAGCCTAAATACCGGGGGCGGCAGAGGATATAAGGAGCTTAAGGATACCTCGTTAATCCGATTTTTGAACTGTCTAAGGTTACTGGAAGTGAGCAAAGCCTCCTCATGCAGGTTCTTACGATGGGAGGCCAAAGTTCGACGGGGCATCACTCAAAAAAGCTTCTAGTAGCAGAGCCCGATGACATATCGGTGGAAGACAACCAGATCGCCGACGGTTCGTCGGTACAGAAGAGTGCCGACACTGTATGGTATACGAGTATAATGTCGTTCTCGTTTCATTGGTTTAGCTAGACGGCATCCTTCTACAATATTTCGTATTTATTTATTTATGGTGAGTCACCATGTTCCATGGTGTTCCAAGCGTGTCCATCACGTCACTAAATGAACGCAACTTTAATACTACAGAATATGTCAGTCATCCAGTGCACATAGCCACTAAATTGCTTCCCGAGGTATTTAATTAATTTTAATTGAAAATTCTTTATTGCAGGTCTCCAACCAACTAGCATTAATGTGGATCCCGTCATGCTGCCCACGTTCCTCACTTCCAGCCAAGTATTCAAAGTCAAGGACAAAGATACAGTCGTACTACCGTGTGAGGTGTCAAATCCAGGTAAGAATTTTGACTAGCTCAAAAAAATTAATCCATAACCTCAAAGCCATTTTAGTATGTGAGTTCTTGAAAACAATTGAGTAGAATAGTAGAATACGGACGTAGCTTCAATAATTATCGAGGTTTTTTATAACAGCTTTCTATATTTGCAAATGTGTCTATTTTCATCAAAAGATGAAATTCCGCCAATGAGGAGGCGTTTTTGAGGTAATGGATAATAATAATAGTAATAATAACAATAATAAGAATAATAATAATATTTATTCACTCAATGTACAAAGAGAACAAACAACATGAGTAAATAAATATAGAATCAAAACAGGCCCAAGAGAAGGCCTTGCCTAAACATGGACCAATAATTTTAAGTTGCAACTGTAGAATGCAAATGACAAAAAAGGACAAAAATTAGCCACAGTAGATTATGTATTTACTTGATGTTCGTATTTATGAGTTTATCAATTTCAGTCCTAGATATAGAATGTAGCCACTTCTTTAAATTTCTTGATTGAAAATTTTTATGTTCGGATGTTGGCCTGTAAACGGAGCCGTTGTGGTGACATGATGTTATTTTTCATACATAAATGACATAAACCAACCTTCATTTATCAATAAAAAAATTCCATTTCGCCTCGTAAAAAGCGTGTTGATTTTTCAAATAGAAAAAAGTAGTAGATGACGTACCCTGTACATACCGCACCTCTGTGGAGTATGTATTTTGGTTCGTATGGAAATCACAACCAGCTTCATTTTTCCTTCTTATCTAGAACCGTTGATAGAATCGACAGCTTATTATTGGAAGTTATGTCAACAAATTATTTTATAATCGCCTGCAAGAGGTCCAAAACTGTGAAGCTTGTTAACTATCAGGTAACCAAATAAGTTCGTGCGGTTTTTAGTAGAAAAATATAAATTTTTATTGAGAAACAATAAGACACTATTTATTCGTCGAAGTAATTACCATCACATTCAATGACCTTTTGCCAACGTGGAACCAATTTTTGTATGCCGGTATTGTAGAACGATTTGGAGTCAAAAAAATTGGCGGACTGCGTTTATTACACCATCTCGAGTTGTGGACTATGGGTACCTCATACAGTTGTCAAGAAACAAAGAAAGGTGGTAATCACTGGGCGCAATGTCGGGAGAGTATGGCAGGTGCGATAACGTTTCCCAGCCGAGTTTTTTGCTTGAGGCTTGGCGTCATCCTACAAGAATATCACTTTCTCCCGATTGATCAAAGATCTGGATGAGTGCTACTTGAACTCATCCAGATATACAATACAAGTTAGCAGTGATGGTTTGACCTCTTTCCAAAAACTCATAATGGACAATTCCAGTTGCTGTGTACCAAACACACAACAAAACCTTGTTTGGGTGCAAGGAAGCCTTGGGCGTGTGTGGTGCCGAATCAGTAGGCGACAACCAATGATACGAACGCTTAGAATTCGAATAAAAGATCCATTTTTCGTCGCAGGTTAATAACCGGTTAAGAAATGGTTCATTAGCGTTGCGTGAAATGTTTGCTGAACAAATGATAAGACGGCTTAATTTCTTATCATTTGTCAGTTCATGTGGGACCCATTTGCTTGACTTCCACGTCTTTCCTAGCTGATGAAGATGCAAACGAATAGTTTCAGGACTCACTCTAAACATTTCTGCAAGTTCTTGGCACGTTGTCCTGGAATTTGCACAACCTGTCGAAAATCCTATCCATCAACAACATCCATGGCAATGTACGATATACAGCAACCGCACGAACTTATTTGGTTACCTGGTACTATCGATCGCTGTTTGCAGTCAACTGGACTAACAGGCTTTCAAACCAATCGCTCATATGGAACACTTTCAACCACAAGCTCCAACAACAGGTTATGAATACACACATCTCGAGAATGCTATGACACAAGAAGACTTTGTGTATTCATTATCCATGTTCTGTATCCTGTATTCTTATTTTTTATATCTACCTTGTACTCTACTCTTCTCTGTATTCATTATTGTCAATAATTATAATTATAACAATAATAATAATAAATTTAAGCAGTAAGGGGTTTTTGCAATTAACAGTGTTGCACAGGCAAACGTTAACGTTAAGTCAATGATGCGTGTCAAATTAGGCTAAAGGACTTTCTATTATCGTTTTTTTTAATAAAATGGTCTGTATTTTGATGACGAAGATTCATAGAATGATTTTCAAGTTGTATCATAAGCTTTATATTCTGAGATACTCTCTAGATAAAGCATATTCTTCGAATTCGGCAATAATGTGAGTTAGGCCCATTAGGGTTTTCATGGCAGCATGCAGCTGGGAATTTAATTTTTGTTTGTCTCTTTTCCACCACGTTCTTTCGTATACCAAATTAGGAATCAAGAATGCGTTGAATCCAGTGAAAGTATAATCAGAGTCAACAAATTTGGTGAGAATTCATTTTGCTACAACAAGGGCCCGTTTATATAATAAACAGTGCTATCTTAATATAGCTTCTCCTTGCCTTATTACTTCCCACGATAACTGGCGAGGAGGGATTGTAAACGAAAAAAAATTCGATGAGAGTTGTTTGGATGTTACTTGAAATGTTAATCCAGCCAAAAAAATAATAGCACACACATCGTCGGTCTGCCTGGGCTGTCATGTGTTGTCTCTTATGCAGTTTAGCAATCAGGCAAATTTATAACTTGAATAGAGCTGATATTAAGCGTCACTACATTATGAAGGACGAGTTTTTGAAAAACGGTCCAGTGGCTATAGACGAGAGAGCAAGAATGTCAAATCATCCTTCCGTGTCATTTACGATGTCAGATTATCAATACACTATAGATAGTACACTCTTACATACTTTCATAGAACCAACTACAATATTCTACTACACTCGCGCCTTCTATTATCAGTACGATGTATTTTACACCACATTTTCGTACTCATCCTGCTTCCTGTCACTTCCAAATATTCAACAAAGGTTCTTTGCCATTATTCTGAAATCTCTAAAACAAAAAAAAAATGATTTATAATCCCTTCATTTTGAGAATTTGAAAACGGCAAAAAACTTCTGATCAAAATTCAAAAAGATGTTACAGGGATAACAAGTAAAAATGATAAGTTTCAAATTTTCTTTTTCCTTATCAAACGTTACGACTAACATAACTTCCAGCCGCAGACGTTAGGTTTCGTGTCCACTAGCAAATAAACTTGCTAGAGTTAATCTCACAAGTCACTTACGTAGCGTGTGCACGACGTCATTAGAGAAATATTGCAGCAAAATTACTTGCACATAAGGGGCTTGCGACTTGCTGAGAGCTTGTAGTGTACATAGCTACTCTCAGGAAATTAATTTGCTTAAAATAATTTCGAGACTGTTTCGAAAGTTTTGCAGCAAGAGGAATAGTGTTGTAAATAAAATATGGAGAAGTTCAACTGGACGAGAGAAGACACATGTCTGTTAATTGAAAATTTTGAAATATATCCTGAATTATGGAATGTACATACTACAGAATTTAAGGACAGAACTAAAAAGCAAAATGCATTACAAAAATTGGCCGATTTATTTAATACGTCTACAGCGGAAATTCAAAGGAAGCTACATGATTTGAGAACGCAAGTTAACCAAGAGTGGAGAAAGATTCAAAAAAGGAAAAGTGCTTGGGAGTTCTTTGACTCATTAAAGTTTATAATTGACGCAAATATACAGAATGCTACGGAAGATAATCTGGTAAGTTAAACCTAAATTTTATTAGCACGTTTATTATTGCAATTCAAACACAAAAACACTTAAAGACACAGTTATTTTTTATCATAAGTAAGGTATGCAATTTTTTTATTATATGTATTTGTATTGCCACGGCACTTCACCTTCAGGTGAAATAAAATAATCCTTAAACTCTTCGCGAGCCGTTTTGGCATTTTCCGAGCCATTGTGACAGTTTTCATTATTGAGTGGCAATAACTTATTTAATGGTAGTTCTTCTTCCTGCCACTGGCCATTTAGAACACTTCCATTATCATTTTCTACATCAAAAATTCCTGGCGCATAATGAGTTGTTGATTGCTTTCGCGACATCAAAAAATTGTGAAGGACAGATATTGCCAACACAATCTTTGTAACTTTTCTGGGTATAAGCTGTATAGGTTTTCTTAATACACAAAAACGATTTGCCATAATACCAAAAACATTTTCAATGATCCTTCTTGCTCGGGACAGTCTGTAGTTAAATACGCGATTTGGTCCTGGTTCATTTCTAAATGGATATGGCTTAAGCAAATATGGTTTCATTGCAAATGCGTCGTCAGCTACAACAACAAACGGCGACATATTTTCTCTTCCTGGAAGCTGCCTTGGAGGAGGCAAATTTATGGTATTATTTTCCAAAGATGTGGACAGAGAACAATTGTTGTAAACGCCACCGTCTGATATTCTGCCATTACAACCAATATTTACATAAGTTAATTTGTACGTTGCATCAGCCAACGCCATTAAAACTATACTATGTGTATTGGCAATGTTAATCCATTCTGCTTGAGTATTTGGTACCTAAAAAAGTAAGTAAGGTAAATAATTTTTTTCAGGTTCCAACAGCAAATGCTTCACAAACAGAACCGCAACATTCATTAATAGATAGAGAAAACGTAACTCAAGAATCGCCAAAGATAGAACGAAATGGCTCAAAAAGGCTGTAAAAAAAGGAGTTAGGAAACTGAGGATGACGCTACTTTAGCTAAAGCTATTAAAGTTAGGGAACGGCCTGTAGATGACTTTCAAATATTTGGAGATTATGTAGCATCAAAGCTCCGTTCCCTACAAACAAAACGGAAACGAATGATACAAAGAGATATTTTGTTTTAGAGTTATCTGATCAGGAAGAAACTCGTTCCTTATCAACAACACCGGTTTCGATCCCGCTTGTATCTCCAGTATATGACACAAGTAGCTCAAATTCACAGTCTTTTCATACATTGCAGTCATACAATTATACCTATTCTGATCAACTTCAACCAGGTAAAATAATAAAAAAAAGTTAAAATACTTTGCATACCTTTAAATATTCCTTTTGTAGCACCTCGTGAATTGCCGCACAACACTGGGGATCAATCCTTGCGATTATACTTACAGGAATTCGATACAAGTGCTTAAGATAGTGATAGTAGTCACCTAAAAAGAAACAAATACATGAAGTTGATACTATCTTGTTTATGTTAATATGAAAATACATATATTTGAGCTTAAATTATTAATTTTAATGTACAAGTATTTCCTGTCGCCAAAAAATGAAGTGTTAAGGACAAACGTTCCTCCGGACTGATTGCCTGTCGCATTTTTGTATTCTTCCTGCTTATTTTGTTGCATCGGATCTTCATTTCTCAATTCAGTAAGCAACTTTTCATGTATTCCTAGAGTAGTTCTACGCTGAATCCACTTTCTCACCCAACATTTTCTTCGCCTTTTAATATCTTTCTCTTGTTCTTGTTTTTTTTTTATTAATTAAATATATCACAACTACCGCAGCAGCTACAGATTTTGCATAAGACGACATTTTGTAAACATCTATAGTGTACACGGAATCAGAACAACCAAGCCCAAGTAAAATTGCAGGAGCAATTTCCTAGATTAAATTTGCGAACAATTAAAAAATAGTGTATCAAACAAGCAAGTACTTGCTGCAAAAACTATCATAAGTTACTTGCAAGTGGACATGAGGCTTAAGTGACGGCCACTTTCCTTCAGCTTCTTCTGCTTGCATAGCAAACGCTTCCTATCCTAGAGATACGCAGTAATGAATAATCAAGAAACACATTTTAGTGTTGTGAAACTGATCTCTCCCCTCTACCACGTTGCAAGCAATTTATTCATGCACGAAGCCACACCATGTCCTCTTCACGCAATTGTCTTGATATTTTTTCAAAGTTTTCACTCTTAACTGACAGCTAATGTAGTTAATAATCTGATCTGTACTGGCAGCTTTGTCCAATTTTGCTCCCGCTTGGCGGCGCTTGTGTGGTTAGTCGTCAAAACTGTCAAACATAGATAGGCAAAAGGTTTAATAGAAAGGTGACGGAAAAAGACAGATTTGATAGAAAGGTAACTTATTTTCACGTTTCGATGTCTGTTGATGATGATCATAAATTGACATGTTTATCGATCTGTTCATAATATTAGATGTGAGGGATATAATCAAATTCAAGCAAATAACCAAAGCTTCTGTGTTATTTAAAATGACACACAAGTTGATGACGCCAGCTATTCGAATCGCTTGAACGCGTTGGTTTTAACCGCGATTTTGTTCCAAGTTCTTTATTTTAGAAAAGTGCGTTTATAATTTCTTACTACTGTTATTATTACTTAATAACTGGTGCTTTTTCGTCTAAGACAGTGATACGACACAGAAAGTTTCAAAAAGAAGACTTAGGGGAGACTCGGGCAAAAGGAACCACCTTAAGTCGCCAGCTTTTAAAATCGTCTATTAAATCCTAGTTATTATTTTTTTAATTTGAAATAAAAATCTATTACATTTAGAAACAAAATATATATTATAAGAATATATAATTATAGTAATATATCTTAAAAAAACATTAAACATAAACATGCTTTTGATTCCTTTTGCCCACATATGAGGGCAATAAGAACCAACGCCTTGGGCAAAAGTAATCAGCGTATGAAATACATGTGGGCAAGAAGAACTTTATTTCAAACATAACTAAAAGTGGAATTATATGAACAGTTAATTATTTTAAGGAAATCAAAACTGATAACTTGTATTTGTCGTAAATATAGATACCTCTGTTGTAATCAGCACATAATTGATGAGCCCAGTTTTGACACATATTGCATTCAATCCATGTTTCGCCAGACTTAGAGTTGCCAAAAATATCTCCGCAGACGATGTATGGTACGTTTTCTTCATTATATTATTTAAATAATCAAAAAATAACTGCACTTGGGGCCTGTTAAATCCACAAGCCCGGGCAATGCTTGCAAGTTATGGAGTTCTAAGGCTTAATTCGAGATATCGCCTCATAACATTTGAGTATCATTGCTCCCCAGCTGTTCCATTACGAAAATGATTTGGCAAATTATTTCGATTTGCGAACTCAAATGCTAAAATGCATACTTAAGTCTTTTGTCAACCCATAAAAACGGGTGTCAATTTCTTGATCTGATTATGTTGTACAAGTTGTCTTTTGGAGGGCTGCTTTAAAAAATGTTTTCGTAAAGTGCAGAGCGGCACCGCGAATAGATGTTTCTCTTTGGTTAATTAAATTTATTGCGCGATTCATTACGGTTTCGTCCCGTCCTTGGGCTCTTTCTGTTTTTCGTTTATTATACTTGAAAACCATTATTCTGAAACAATATTCAATTTTGAAAAAAAAAGTATATCCAACGGAATAGCGGGCAGAAGGAGCCGGGCAAATAGATCCGGTTCTTTTTGCCTGGTTCTTCTTGCCCAGATGGTATGCAACACATTAAAATATTATTTATAAGTGTCAAACCCTTGAACAGCGCCACAATTAATGTGAGGTTACAATCTACACAAAACGTTATTCATCGCCACGTAATTCAATGCTTCAACTTATAACAATACTAAAATAATTTCCATCTATTTAAACCATGATCAAGAATTCAAGACGGTTACATTTTCTAAATTGGCGGTAAAAACATGAAAAATAAGCTTGCCGGGATGGGTATCAAATCAAACACTGGAGAAGTATAGTATCTGCCAGAAGTAAATAGAAAATAGTGGGGGGAATTTTGAGATAATTTTTTTTTCAACCGATTCCTTTTGCCCTTATGGTTCTTTTTGCCCGAGCCTCCCCTACCTCATATTAATGGGAGAAATGTTTTCTTATCTCTATTATTTTAAACAAGTTTGTCGTGGAAATGAAAGATATGACGCCCAAAATTTTAATGTTGGAAATATGACTTAGTAGCTGTGATAACTTTCAATTATTCAATCTTTTCCACATGTCAAAGAAAACATTTATTGATTTAGCAGAAACGATGGGAGAAAGCGATGAAAAAAGATCTTAGCAAAACCGTATACAGGTGGACACTATCCATATGGCCATATTTAAATATTCTTGTGGTATATGGCTGCACAAGATACTTTGTTTAGCATAGGAACTAGATTTAAAGTGTCCCGTAATGTTATAACTGAAGTCGGCCTGTATCAAGTTTCCCAAAAATGAAGCTGAAGTACAACAAAAATATCCAATAACCGCCAAAATTCTGACTTACCACATTTGAAATAATAACCAGAAATATAAAACTACTCCGGATTTGGGTGAATATCACAATTTTATGGTGATAACTATAAAATGTAACAGCTGATTAATGACGTCACAGACCTTATAACCAAACTGATAACCACACTCGCTTGAACGGATTGGTAAATACCAATCCAAAATTTTAAATACCATTTTCATTTAGTTATTCCCTTGAATTTGATTTATATCTCCCAACCTAACTAGCGCTGTCGGCTTCAAGCTTCCCAGATTATCTAATACTCATTTTAAACAGCGATCCCACTATGCATTTCCAATGTATATAGTTAGTATGAATCATTTTATCTCAGACAATACAGAGTCATGTATATAACTATATAACTTACAACCCCCCCCCCCCCCATGGCTTTTGTTGTGTTCAAAGTCACAAACTAGGTGTTTTCCAACAACTTTCTGATCACTCTAGGCCAGAGTATAAAACGTTTATGTGATTAAAAATGACCGTGTACCTAAACTTTTAAATAGGTATATATGAATATGTGGGAAACACTGAGTCAATCCGCTTGACAGCATTTTTTGTCAGTGAATTCCTGAGAATTTTCGCTACTATCGCAATAGGCCTCAAAACCGCGTTGTTCTGAGAATCCGGCTTATCTCAAGTATTGCACATTCCCCAAACAAACAAATCGTTTAATAAAAAGATCGTTCGAGTTTATTGCTCGACGGATTTTCTTCAATAATGCCTGTTTTATTACCGGAGTACTGATTTTACGTAATTTCCCCCGTAATGTCGCTTTAAAGTATCGCTATTTACAACCGCGCGCCGTATAAAATAGAAGGTCGATGCTACGACCGATAAAAATACCACAAGCACAGGTTCCGTGCGATCTGAACAAAGAACTCCTTGTCACGGCATTTACACCGGGCTCATAACTCCAGGCTTATATTGTTTGAAAACAAAGAAAATTGTATGCTTACAAGGTGTCACTTGTAACTGATTACTGATTATGAAAATTGAGCTCATAGGTGGTTATTATTTATAAAAATGGTTATTGTTTTAGCGTAACTATAACTACACTTTAAGGATAAAAGGTCCAACTTGTAGCAAGCAAAATCGAATTTCTCATAAACACCGTTGCAGGATCTCACATCTGATTGAACCACATCTGATTTACAGTTTAGCGGCAAGAAATTTTGACAAATCCACCGGAGGAAGGATTTGAAATCAATGTTCCCAAAGACAGAATTAAATCCATCCAACGAGCTATACAGAGTGTTTTTAAATTTGAGTCATTCATTTTAACTGCTTGTACGTCTTGTCAAAAGGCGTTGATGTGCCAAAAATCATCAACACTGCCACGCAGAATTCACCGGACAAACAAAATTTGGGTCAAATTAAATTTTAAATAACTTTTTAACCTTTGCATCAATTTCGTTAATTTTTGTAGGTAATTTCATTGTTATCATTATCGACTGCCGATCTTGCAAACAAATTTAAAATGTTTGTTCTTATACAGGGTGTAACTAAATGGTGCATTTTGCACTAAATTTCTGAACACCCTGTGAAAAAATTGGATTACTGAATAATGTCTTCGTATGAGAATTCTAAGCCACAACTTTTCTCAATAGTCTTTTTTATTTTTTTTTATATCCAAGCAGCCGCGCAGGCAGAAGCCTAAATGCCGGAACACCGCGGCCGCTATGATGGTCCCAAAGAAATTTTATTAATATGATTTTTAACAGCCTAAGGTTAATAGAACTGGGAAAAGCTTCCTCTTGTAGATTGTTCCACAATCTCGACACCCTCGGGATAAAGGAGCGGTCGTATCGGCCGGTTATGGATGTAAGAAGTTCGACACGATTAGGATGGGACGCCAAAGTTAGGCGGGTCTGTCTGGCAGACACATCGCGCGACGGCATCATGGAAGAGAGCTCTGAGCAGCAAAGCCCGTTTGTGTAACGGTAGAAAAGAGCCGGATCGCCGACAGCCCGCCGGTACGAAAGAGTCCCGAGACTGTCTGTTAGAGAAGAGTCATCGATCAGTCAGACCGACCTCCTCTGAACAGCATCGAGCATGGATAATGTAGTCGGGGCGGCAGCACCCCAAACGTGTGAGCAATACTCGAGGCTAGGCCTTATCTGGGCCTTGTATATAGTGAGAAGGTCATGCGGAGAAAAGTACTTCTTAGCCCTAAACAAATAGCCTAACTTTTTCCCAGCAGCTGCAGTTATTGACGAGATGTGTTCCTGCCAGATCAGGTCCTCGGTGATCTGGACTACGACCAGCCGAAATGAATGGCTCTTTGGCAGAACTCGACCATCCATCACAACCGGGTGAGCGCAGGGACGCTTTTTGTTCGTCAAAGTACAGTACTGCGTTTTGGAAGCATTGAACTATACAAGATTGTTGCGTCCCCAAGCAGTGATAGCCTCCAGGTGTCAGAGAGGAAGTTATCGCTAGTCTTCTTTTTTCCAACTCAGCGGCAGGGATCGGCTTGTCACTCTGAATTCCTGCATGTAGAGTGCTGTCATCAGCGAAGCTGTGGATTGGGTTGATCGTGCAGGAAAGGAGGTCGTTGATATGTAAGAGGAACAGTGTCGGAGCCAAGACCGATCCCTGGGGAACACCCGCGTTGACGTTGTGGGATGAAGAGGAAAACCCGTCAATTACGACGGGTATCTTGCGGCCAGAGATAAAGTCAGCCACCCATCTGCAAAGCTTTTCTGGCAGGCCATAGGATGGAAGTTTGCTTAAGAGGGCAGCGTGCCACAGCTGATCGAACGCTTTCGTGATGTCAAGAGCAACGACATGAACCTCACTATAAGACTGGATGAGTTTACTCCACAATTGAGTGACGTAAGCTGGGAGGTCCCCTGTGGATCGTTGGTGCCGGAAACCATACTGCCTGTCGCTAATCAAGTCGTGACGTTCGAGGTAGTCAAGAAGCTCGCGATTTATGCACATCTCCATCACCTTACTTAAAACAGAAAGCAGAGCTATAGGCCTGTAGTTGTAAGGGTCGGTCTTAGATCCCTTTTTTGGGATAGGTTGGACATGAGCAAATTTCCAGTTTTCTGGGAAGGTGCCGGATTCATAAGATATCTGGAAGAGACGCGAAAGAACTGGAGCAAGCTCCGGTGCACACCTCTTCAGTACAATGGCAGGAATGAAGTCCGGACCAGAAGTTTTGTTGATGTCGAGCGACAAGAGCACTCGTCTTACGGTCTTATGCCTGACTGTTACCTCCCGCATAGTGTAGGGAACCCTTTGGATTGACGGCACTTGGATGTTGGCGGGGACGTCCATGGTGGAGTTGGCAGCAAAGATCTTGGCTAGCACTTCCGCTTTGGCCTTTGAGTTGAATACAATAGTTCCATCCTGACACATAAGTGGTGGAAGGCTACTGTGTGAGAAGTTCTTTTCAATCTGCTTGGCCAGCGTCCAGAAAGACCGACTGCCATTGCGCTGCGACATTACCCTGTGCCTAACTTTTATATCGTGCTGGTTTTTGGTATTGCGAACCGCTGCTTTATATTTGTTTCTGGACTCAACGTCGGCTTGTCTGTTCTCTACAGTGGGGTTTTGTAAGAAGGTTCTGTGTGCCTTGATCTTCTGCTGGCGAACAGCGTCACACGAGTTTTTAAACCAGCCATTGTACCCTGGTCTAGGCACTTTCACTGTGTGAGGGATGTATTCCTCCATTCCGACGTGGATAATTTCGGTTATCGAAGAACAGACAGCCGACGCATCCGCGTCAGTGAAGCAGACATCTTTCCAAGGAAAGCTAGAGAAGAAATCTATGAGCCCCTCCCAGTCGGCATGTCCGTAATGCCAAGTTTTGCGGCCTGTACGAGTTTCTGCTGCCACAGCGGGTTCTGACCGAAACCTAACCTCCACAACACCGTGGTCTGAGTTACCCAGGGGGGACAGGACAGCAGTGCTGTAAGGAACAGGATGCATGATCAGAAAGAGATCCAGCAGGCTACTGGCGTGTGACGAGACGCGGGGGAAAAAAGTAGGACTCGTCACCAGCTGAGTCAGCCCTTGGGTAAGAGCGAACGCTTCGACTGCACGACCTGCTGCGTCGGTCTTGTTTGAGCCCAACCAAAGCTCATTAT